CTAACAGGAATCATATTTCTTCTCTAAAGCTGAAGGCACCAATCTCCGCTACTGACAAATGTCTTCTATGTCTCAGGTCAAAATTTTCCCGCGCCTTCAATACCTCGCTGTTAATCAGCTAAAAAAATGAACATACAATTTCGAAATATCTCAACTGTGGAAGAATCACTTCCGAAATAAATCCCTTACAATAATCCACTCTCTGAGGTTTTTCTTCCCACAGTCCCTCCATTCTGTTCACCAATTTACTGACATGAAACACGAATTTCAACCTGTGCTGTCCTCTGAGGAGGGTTTTCAATCGAATTGGTAGGGTATGCTCTATCCTGCTAATAGTTCTAAGAATACAAAATAATAATAATGAGCACCAAACCACTGTCAAACAGTTTGACCTACAAATCAAAAGAGTAGATCGTGCACCAGTACCGTAGTTTGAAATGGAAGGCCTTTGTGGCGGAATATCAGACTGCCGCGCGGACAGAATGGATGGTCAACAAGCAGGTCTAATGATGCTAATGGGCAATCTCATTGCTGCATTTATTTCTTTTTCTGATGATTTTTTGCCTGAATATCCAGCAAATTGCATGTCTAATGTGAATTCAGTCGGCCCATGAGAAGGTATTCATTCTTGGAATTAACAGCCTTCCATGACAATGGGTTCGGATGAATCCGTCCAGTGCGCCGATTCACTCTGAGATTCTTATGTCCGTTATCCAAAAAGATTTATCATTCGGAATAGCAATTGGAATCGAAACGTGACCCCGGATTGAAAACCTCTGAATAACGCAGAACCAAGACGAGCCGTGGATACAGGTACTTCTACTCAGCAAATCATGCTGTCAATCGATCATTGATTCATTCTTCGGCGTCCGATTGACAACGAGCATAACCCGTTTAGTTGCTTCTTTGCATTCAGCCAGTCCAATTGGCTCTATTTAAGACCGCCAGATTGGTCGGCAATTCCGTTTGCCCACTGGCCACCTAGAGGCTGTATCGTGGTGCGTGCGTAGTCATTGCACGATCAATGCTAAATCCTACTAGTCTAATAGCCACTCAAATGTTCTTGTCCGATTGCCATTACTTCTTCTGAGCCTAAGCTAACAGGGGGCAGTATTTTTAGCCGTCTGATTCTTATTGTTAGTAATTCCAGTGATTTCCTCTAATTTGCGAATAAACTGAATAGACTTACGCTAGACACTGTATCTTCATTAATGCGCCCTATTTGAAAACCCGTAGATGGCTCCCGAAAATCTGTTCATTGTTTCTTCCTTGATTAGTCTCTCGTCTTTGATCATATCTCACGATCCCTGTTCCAAAAGTTACGGTCATTTGATCGTTGCACCACATTATTTTTATGGCTAAAGGACTATTTCACGGGAAAGATTTAAAGAAAAGCAAACGGTAGTAATGTGGACCTTAGGTCAATAATTCGGGAGTCTTTCTGGATGTTGCGTCTTCCCCACACTCGATTTAGGCATTTATCACTTACCTGCTTTACATCCCACAGCCAAAATCTTAACATATGCTGATGATGGGGTTCAACGTCAAGTGGTCTCAACCACGACAGTTTACGATAAGTGTAAACGTCTTCTTTCCTAAATATTGTGAATACACGTTTAGTCTTTCGCGATCAGAGTAAGTGGTAGAACCCTCCAGTTTCACCCGTCAGTATATGACAACTTCATTATTGCCTTAGTGTACGAGTGAACATCTTCTGACTGAGATGCAGACATGACTACATGTACAAGGCAATAATTGTAATGTTTTGAGCAAACTTCATAAATATACTCAATAGACCTAATAAAAACAGTGCACAAAATGCTGGTAGGACTTCCAAATTTTTGAGCAATCTCTCACCTAGACGTGTATCTGGGATCCACAAATTTGGGATAACGGTGTGTAGCGTAGTCACTATGCTGGGTTCATGTACGGATTCAAAGTCTGAATAAACAAAATCGAGTTTATCCAGAATAATATGCTTAAACGGTCCGTGGTGCATCCTCTTGACGAACTGCATAAAATGAGTCTTATGTTACGCAGTCTTCATAATCAGACTAAAGGTTTCAACCTTTGATTTCTAACATAGAATGCTGCGTGGTCGAATGCCATTTAAACTGACAGAGAAATACCCGCCTCAAGAATAAGGATAAGAAACGTTGCCGAAGAATTCACAGATCGAAAAAATATCTGTAATGCTTCGAAGGATCGTAGCTGATGCGCACCTGAAACTATGAAGCGCCAGGGAGCAACTTCCAAGTATTGCATCCAACTAAAAAGAGCATGCCAAAGTTGCAAAGATCTATGCAATTGAACATTAGTGTTCGCCGATCATAGCAACAAAACATCTACAATGTGGGAAGATGAGAGCAGCTTCTTGGAAAGCTGAATGTTATAACGCAGATCAAGTCGATTTGGTGCGAAGTCACATCAGACAAGAGGCTGAATGGAATTTTGTGATGAAGAAACGTTCACTTGGATTTACCCAACAGAATAATTTATCTCTAGTCTGGCCTGTAAAAGGACCAGCTTGATTTCAGTAGATTATTTCGTGGGGTCTGTGATGACTTTTAGCATCACTTTCTCCGACAGAAAATAACGGTTGGAAGCGAAGCCGACATTCTATTCGTGTGCCATAATTTCGCTGTAAATCCCAAGTATTGGCAATGGCCCATACTGTCCCAGAGGAACAATGCAACCCCGTGCATTACCAACATCAGTAGAAAGTGGTTACTATATAACAGTATAAGTATTTATGATTGACCCACTCACAAAACTGCTTTGAGCCCCATTGAAAACGTTTGGGTTTATTGGTGAGGAATGTCCGCGCAAATGATTCTCGGATGACATCAACAAATTAACGCATCGTCATTAAATAGCGACGGTTCGAAAGTCAGAAGACCGAAGATCTTTCTGCAAGAATACCTGAGCGATACCTTTCAGTCCTTTCAGGCCTATTCGTTAGCTCACTGGGTGGTTCTTTCTATCATACAGTCAAGCAATGCTCTAAAAGCAATTCGCATCATCCAAAAGTATTGTCCGTGAGAGGGCCGATTTTGCTTATTCGGAATTCCAATCCGTACGCGAACCCATTAAATTTTATGCTCCCACACTTGGTAAAGAATGCAAAAGACCGGGAGTGCCAAATCATCTTGTGTATCACCACCAGTCACGACCTTGGCAACTTACCAGTCCGTTTGAGTGAGTCGTGCTCATGTCTCACTGAACATTTTGGTTCATGGTGTCTGCACTTTCCTCTTTCAGACTGTCAGTCAAACCCCTCTCCATGGAGAACATCCTGTCTGTCGATGGTTTCAGCCCACATTGAGACCAGGTCCACTTGCGGTTGTCTGATGTATTCGTTCACGGGGGACATCTTGCAGCATACACGAGCCAAGCATATCACATTTCATCGTTAAAATCTATCCTGTTGGGGTTTGTGAACTATTAAACAACAACTGAGCAATCTATATTGGTATATGAAGACAATGAGTGTGCCAAGCAAAACACGGTAAATCCTCTTTATAAAAAAAGAAATATCTATAATTTGCTCGGGGTGAGATACTGCTAGCTTGCCCAGGCCAAAGCAAATGAATTCTCTAAAGGATACACGTAAACTTCAGATCACTTCTGTTGATTTACAATATAGAACCCCAGCATCAGTATATGTTACGATTTTGGCTGCGGCATACAGAGCAGGCAAGTAATAAATGCCCAAATCCAGTGTGGAATAGGAGCAACATCCAGGACTCCCGAATTATTGACTTAAGATCCACAGCATTACTCTAATGGCTCACAGCCTGAACTCATGCGTGTGAATATATATATATATATATACCTCATTTTATTGCATCAATATATGCTCGTAGAGGATTTAATATCGGCTGGTATACAAGTTTGGTTCCAACGCAACAACAATAATAACACCAGGGGCGGCATTCAGGTACATATGGGAAAGATGTGGAGAAAAAAAGTAGTCGGAGAACCAGAGGAACAAGACCATCAACTGACATTTTTGTTTGTTTCACCCTACCCGTTTTTATATTTTTGTGTTTATTTTATGTCACCTGAAACCTCAACACAGCCTGCACAACATTCGCGCCAATGTCTACTATTCTGAACGATAACTTTCAGCGTCTCCAATCAACAATGGTGTTTCATATGTTTCATATGAATGGTTTGCAGAACCAACAACGAAAACCAGAGCAGAAGTAGTAACCAAGACCGATAGAAAGGAAGCCAAGAGCATAGTTTCACGAACCACATGATCTAAAGTACACTTTGCACGATCGCACTTGGCCATACTCATCTCAATCCCAGATTGGACTGAACTGAAAACAAGGAATCAACGCAAGCGAACAGAAGATTTTATTATATGTACTCAATTATAATCGTGAGTATGGAAAATATCGATCATGGTAATAAAAGAGAAAAAATGATCAAAGTAAGAGTTGTTTCATAAACAAGAAGAAGACTAGGGTTGGAGGTGACGGGGCAGGCAGACTGAACTTGCACTGGGAGAAGAACTTCGATCTAAATGGGCCCGAATGATGCCCGGTCATGTATGTGTCTACTAGTCGGACCCCAAAGGAGACAAAGTCGATCAAAATGAGCACCGGATACAATGCAGAACTAGACAAATATTACACGAGTGGCACAGCTGGTCAGAGCAAAATGAAGACCAAAGTAAAGACAATGGTTCATCGTGAGAAAAGGAAAAATGATCCCAGATGTATTTTTCATTTGATAACCTGATGAAGTTTTCTTTTTCGAGAGACTCCTGGAAGCTCGACAGTTTTCATAATGCGTCGCGAGATGTGTCAATGACAACTGAGACTCAAAGGTATTTCATGAGCAAACAGGTTCTATCAAACTTCTGAAAAACAAGGCAAGGATGAGAGCTAAACGATGGTGAACCATCGAAGGAGGATTAAGCAAAATGAAGGGGCCACATTTTCTTGAGCTGCGATGCAAAACAGACAATGAAAAACATTAGAAATGGATTATTCCCAGGCCAGCGCCATACAAGTGCGACTGGGCAGATATAGGAATACGCAATTCTGACGTCCGTCCCATGGTTCGCTGCAGGTGAGGTATTCCGTTTTTGGATCCAGACGACTGAAACCTCCGTACTCCTCACGATCTGAATCCAGTACGTTGTGATAACTGGAAAGGAAAGAAGAGGAAGAATTAAATGCGCAGAAAAACGATTCGATCCATTCACGCTGGATACCTCTACAATAGACAGGCTATTTGTAGTATGAGGAAAGACTCGACACAACTCATCCATCCGTGAGAACATAAATCTAGCGACAACTTCAGGGCCCGTAATCACTTGCTGAACTTTCGATGCGCTTTTCGAATGACTTCATTTTCATCTTGAGCAATCACCGTTCTGAATGATAGAAAAATATATTCGAATCAAGATAACTACGAAAGGCTATTTATCGTTATCAAGCTTAGATAAACTCTCTCATAAGTTAACAAACACGAATCAAAAGTGATCCGCACGTAAGTGAAAGTTTGATTGGGAGAACGTCTTAGTTCCACTTGGATGAAAATTTTCGTGTTTTTCATAGACATGATTGAGTCGCAGCTTAAACCGGCTGCGGCAACGAGAAAATAACGGAAGTTTAGCAACTGAATACTCATTTTTCAAATTATGTTGTTTGGTCGAATGAATTGTTTTCAATTGTCAAAAGTTCAGTAACTTCGGTGGGAATCTAACTCACTCATGGACGCCAATAACGCTTCTGTACAGTGCACGCTCTACCAGCTGAGCTACGAAACCACATCGATGGCAATAATTCCGGTGGATTTTAAGGAAGAACTGTCGTGGCAGTCAGCTAATTAATGGATTCCATTTGCCTCTGTTAGATGGGCGAACCAAATGTGAAACGATCACTGCTGTCGGTGTGGCCTCGTCGCTCAGATGGTAGAGCGTGCGTTGTACAAAAGTGTAGGCGGTGTCCATGCGTGGGTTAAAATCCCACCGAGGCTACTGAACTCTTCACAAATCAAAATAAGAATATTCATTTGCTTTAGGTGGTACGATACACTTGCAGTTTCAGACCGCAATTTATATTCTTGTTTGTGAATTGCTGATTTTTATAACGAGTTGAACAAGGTAGAACTATCATTAAAACGTAACCCGTGAACGAGCAGATCCATGCACATCACTACTTACAATGCTCGGACATGTCACCCATCACAAATGAAACAGATCTTATCATTAGGTATTACTGTCCGCGTCCTGTGTATTAAAACATGAGTAAACTGAAGTAGAAACAATAACACGGCGATATGCGGTTTCCTCGAAATATACTTGTTATGATTGGAACAAGACTGACACAGCAAATCAGGTCATAACTACTGAAGGATAGAGTTACAAGAGAACATTTGTATGTTTCCACACGCTTCTCTGTATTACTTAAACTGCAGTCACTCGCAAGTTGAAAGTCGATTCTCCAGAGAACCTGACTTCGACCTTGAAGCTTTTGGCGACAAACAGCTGCTAAGAGTATTTTTCGAAGAAACCCAGATAAATTATGATAAAATGAACGTCAATGTTGACCGAAGCAAATTTGTAGTGGCTTATCGGGTTAGTCAAGGACGGCCTTTGCGAAAGATCACCACACTATGTACAGTGATGTCTACTATTCTTCCACATTTAGTCCACATTGGAATGCACTCATCAAGGGCAATGGAATATAGCGAGAGCATCACGACAGTCGTATGTATCAGCTAATTAGAAACCGATAGATTCCCTGTAAAGCACACAAATTGATTTTACTGCCGGCTGGAGACTTTACTGATAACATCCATTTGGCAAAATAGGTGGGAGATGGAAAAGGCCTCCATTGTGAGTTTCACAAAGTGCCAAAATCATGATTCAACACGACCTTTTGAAGTAAGAGTTAGTCGCCATTCGCTGGTTGATTTAGTGACTGAATTACGTTTCATCTCTACCCGATCACCCTCGAACTACGTCACACTTCAACTCAGCCGTTTGAAGGAGTCCGGAACACGTTGTGGTAGCAGTACACAGGAATCTCATGAACGAAATCACTGACTATTATCGAATCGTCCACCGACATAACACAAACTCTGAACAAAAATAAATACAAGTCATGAAAACACCCATGAATTCCGAGTGTCGTCGGTCACTCAAGCTAAGTAACTACAGCGCAGTTATCATATTCAAAACAGATAACTAGTTTAAAGCATCTGTTATACGTGAAAAATAGTCTTTTGATCATAACGAATTTCTCGATGATTAAATCCGGACACGTATTTGATTGATGAACTTATACCAAACGCCTCCTTACAGATAAGAGTTTGATTACTGCACCAAAATAAAGCCAAGCGTTGATGCCCTTTCGAGATGTGATGACCCAGGTCACAAGTTATCGGCTTTTGCACATACCAAAAGGGTAGCTCCAGTTGTAAGTTGCGTTTGAGAGAATAAATTACAACAAACCAGCCTTTTGCACATTGCTTTCCTAACCACTGACGGGGAAAAAAGTATGGTTAGGGATGTTGTTGTAAAACTTAGCAGAACATGCATTACTCGGAAGAATGATCTGCAAGTAGTACATACATATGCGTTTTGTGTAGTGTCTATTTTAAAGCACTGAGGACAAACGATTATGATCACGGTGTTTTTAATCCTCCAGGGAACCCTTACAGTAGTTCAGGAACAATGTGATTATGTAAGAAATGAATATTTATTAGTATTTTAAATGAATGGCGGTCCTTTAGAACAAATACGAGATAGTATAAACCATGTACTTAGGTAATCCAGGGGTATGTTCAAGCTCTTTAAATTACCCTGGGTAGTCGAACACGACAGACGACCAGTCATATCAGATGCAAGTTTCGCGCTTATTTGTCTCATGTCCAAACAGACGTATCTGTCATGATCAAAGAGCATAGAAAACCATGTGAATGAGGCTCGGGATTAACAAATTCAGGGAACCATGTTCACTAGACGGATACAACGGATTAACCTTTGGCCAGGAACACAAAATTAGTATATTCTTATCACCATCTCCTGTGATGCGTTGGTCATTATATGGTCACACCTGGACAGTGCGGTCGGTTACTTGCGCACAAGCGGACACGACTTAGCTGTAGCACGTTTAAACACACCGATATGTAGTCATCACATAAACAAAAAGAGCGGTTTGTCAGCACAAACAACCGAGTCCGTGTTTCACGTAAATGTGTACATTTGTACACCAAACCCGAAAGCGACGATAGTTTCCACGAAAAATGACGTGAAACGTAACGACCACTGATGTTTATATCATCAGTCAATGACCCATTCGTGTTACTCATAGATGCGAACCGATAAAGACTATGTTCCAACATCTGCAAACAACCGTGCGCATACATCATACAGCCTAATGGTGAATCTAATTTTAAAAACCAGTACTATAAGTGTGTTAGAATCAGCAGAAGCCGACAGAAATCAAGTGCAAGGCACCGATAATATGGTGTAACGGTGTCGAAGATACTAACACATTTTGAGACACTGAAACATTTGTGGACCATTGAAGTTAAATATTTTTATCTTTTTCATTACGTACCGGTGTGATGGACAGCGGACGGGGTAGAAAACTTGCTGCTCAGTGATGGTAACCGGCAACCTAAGCCCCGGGACTTGGAGTGGCGAACCACATGAGGTCATCATCCCGAAGGTTATTGAGAAATTGTTCCTGGCCAAACTGTCAGACCAGATAAATGTCCACGGACGCAGAAGTTTGATTTTTGGCGCTCACGTTTCAAACTCGATACCCTAGACATCCCAATCCATCATCTGCTCTCCTTTGAGAATAGTAAAAGCCGTCAGAGCATTTGCCGAATTACCGACAGCCTTAACAGTTGAGAGGACAATGCTTCGCTCTTTTTCTTTATTATTCACGAATCAGGTCATCTCTCCTGTAAGTACAGTCTGACTAAAGCGGTGATCGGAAACAATTAACATTTTATCTCGAAATTTCCGCCTATCGCCAAATTTACACTTGATGCTCCCAAAAAGTTACGTTTCCATCTCTTGTCTTCTCATCTAGTGTATTCTTCAAATGATACCACTTTAGCCCCTCCCCTTATTCTAATGAAAGAGCTTTCCCCAACAAATACATGCATCATCTTGGGAAGATCTGGTGAAGGCTATAACCAGTGTGATAAGATGCATACAATCACAGGCGTCGATTGAGGGCGGCTCGTGAACAAGCATGGTGCCAACGCGACAACCGTGATAACAGAGAACGAGAGATACAAAACAGAGAAATAAAAGGCAAACAGGTACAGTGGATAACAAGAATAACAATTGTTTGTTTGTTCTGAGGATTACTCTCAAAGAATCCCTCACTAAATTTAGGTCCCTTAAACACCCACGGTTTTCAGAGGGTATTCCCCACGCACGTTTTGTCCACTTTATATCATGTAAGCGTTTCCACAAGTCGCAAGTTTTATACAAAGTTCTACTGACACTAAAAATGGGTCATCCGCGTTGCTGCTTTTTCCACCGGAAACCAGTACAAGCATCGCGCTGTAGGCACCAAAACACTTCAATTATCCCGCATATCATAGCATTCCAGATATTCAAGCAATTCCGAATGGGTCAAAGATGAAATCACTAACACTACGTGTTAACAATCGCTATCTTCCTTGTAACATTTACACCTTGTCTGTTTTATTGGCTGCTAAGCTACGTTGGTCATGTAGTAGCTGAATGTAAACCTCGCGCAAAATTACCTGACTCGTTATTATATTGAACAGCGGTACATGAGATTGCATCGTAATACGATTTCCTTCCCGAGAAAGGATACTGGAGAGCTTAGCTAAATGAAAATAAATGAGATGCCACTCAGGACTACCAAGTTCTGATTCGGGGTATTAGTGGTAAATGCACGAACCATGGTGCGGCAGTGCGAGACAACTTCTCGGAGATAAACACCACATTAAACGAATTAAAATAGTAATACCTAGCGCTAAACTACCATCAACCATTCAAACGCAACTCCGATCGAATAAGCATAAGATTAATGGGAAACGAAGGAATACTGTACAAATCAGCTCGAAAAACAATGAGGGGGATAATCGAAACGACGCCCATGCCTGGGACACCCACGTGGGTTGTTTGATCAGTGTAACTACGACAGTGTCGCTCGAAGAGACCGACATGACTGACTTCAGTAGGCCAAATTTTTGAATCCTTTTTTCACGTCATGATCGACAAGGTACTGATTTGGATAGAACCTTATAATTGAAGAATTGAAGACAAACACTACACACGAACCGTGAATTCGACGCCCAGAAACGCAAATTTGAAATCTGAACAAATGACAAGTCGACCACTTACCGCCCAGGAGTTTCGACACCGATTTTGTATCCGGTAAAGCTTTGAGTCGGGTGAAAATTGAACACGAACAATACACCGGCACGTTCGAAAGCAATCACTTTGTCTCCATCATGTTTCCGGCTGACATAGGCCTGAAGATACATGATGATAAACCATATGTTCACATCAAATACAAGAGAAACATGGTACAATAGGACTAAGATGCACAAGTTCAATTCAGGGAAAAACCTGGGGAACGAAATGGATGCATTGGACAGTATAAACGAACGGATTTTGACCAAAGGCTCGTAAACCATATCCACTGTTTACTACCTGCTCATGATTGATTGTATTTGTTCCTTGTGGGTTAGTTGATCGATTCAGTGGACAAATCGAAATATATACTCATATATATCACTATGGGAAACAAAAACAGTTTAAAAACAAGTTAAATATCGCTGAGCTGAATTGATTTCAACCTAGTAACATCCAATTTCACGATGTCCAACCGTATCTTGAATGGCGAGAAACACAGAAAAAGCTATTTAATAACTTATTCTAGTTGTTTCAGATATTAGCGCAGATGTACGATTCCGGGATAAGTTACACTTCTAAAAAGATTCAATTGTCAGTGTAATAAGATGATCGGCGAATCCTTAGCAGTATAAGCCGGATTACATGTATAAACAATCTGTTCCACCCACTGATAAATGAAAAGCTCCGATTAGGTACTCTGAACAAACCGGAATGTAGCCTGGACACAGAAAATAAATATATGGGTTGTTTTATCAATAACAGATTGAAGAATAAAAAATTAATATTTGAGGCCACGCAATAGTTTTGCATTTTAGTGAATGTTGAAGCACCGATGGGAACCACCAAAGAAATAAGAAGGGTCCCTACTACACAACTGTGTAATTTAAAAATCGAAATGAATGTGCATAATTTGATGATTTCATCACGATAAGATTGCATCTTGAGGTAGCGTAATGGCCTGTGTACCTCTGTGACCGAACGAGCTACAAAAGATGGCTTTTGTTAAGCCGGGGGTTTAATCATGCCTGGAAGGTCAAAGGGTAGACAAAGTCCAACCTCCTAGTTTCCAGGTTGGGGGAAGGGGGCTCGACGCGAACTGACGTCTCAGTCGGCAAAAATGCTGGAGAAGTAATTGATCTAAGTAAACGGGCCTCCACTCTACCTCACCCGCTGCCTTGTGGTTAGGTTAGGCGGTACTAAAGGCGTTGGTCGAGAATCCTAGCAGTACCTGTCTATAAATGTCCAATGAATACACAAACAAAAAATAATTCAGTACTGAATCAGTCGGGGTGCAGGATAATTTGGACCGCGCTGCTCATTGCATCCAGTGGGGTAACAAGTGAGCTACTGCTCCGAAACCCCAACCTTTGTTTAACTCTTTGTCTTGTATACCCAACACTCACCTTTTATCCTTCTTCCGACCTATAACACTCCATTAGGCGAATTGTTTGCCACTCGCCAAAGGTCGTCGTCAAGTAGCACTGCAAGTAGTTTATCGCCAGAAAATTTGTATATTCTGAAGCCTAGTCAACCTCTCAATCTGGGGGCATTCAACGTGGAGACTCTGATGCAGTGAGGTTAACAAGCGTGTACTGTGCGAACAGTGGACTCTTTGGAAATCGATGTCTGTTGTGTATCGGAGACACGAATTCTAGTAGTATAAGCCATCTGAGTGCATTGGGTTTGTCATCGAGGTGTTTCCTTTGTACATCAGGAGACGATGAAACTCGCTTTTTGGGTCAGCGAGGTGTAAGAATTGTGCTAAGCAGTAAGGCTGAAGCATCACTGATAGATTAGATACCCGTCAACAGTCGTTTGTGCACAATGAGGCTCCAGAGTTCAGTTAGTGTTCGGGAGGGCAGTAACACCAAAAGGTGTTTGTTCATCATATCGGCGTATGGACCAACCAACTGCAATCCTAGTTCACAAAAGGACGACATTTACGACAAACTCACCGAGACCACCCGATTAAGTCGTAGCTCTGGTGTTATAGTGCTGGCAGGTGATTTCAGAGCGTAGGGTGGAAAACTGCGCACATCCGAAGCTTGTATAGTAGGGCACTTCGCTCCTACCGCCCAGCGAACAGACAACGGTGAACGGCTAATTCAGTTCTGCGCGGATCATCGGTTGTTTTTGTCTCGCACCAACTTTTGACACAGCTCTAGTCAAACGGCTACATGGTGTTCTAGTTCAGCGGGAATGTTGACCCAAATTGACCACATAGCTGTGGACTACCGTTAGAGGGACCCAGCAGATCCTATTGGACTACTCGCGTTGAGTCTGATCACACTCTAGTTCTGATGCGCTTCACGCTTCGATTCACTAATCATCGTCAAAAACCGCTTCCTCAGTTATCTCATCATCATCTGCGCGATCCATTTGTTTGCGCATGTTATGAAGAGAAGCTTGGACAGGAGGTAGGGGCACCGCGAGCAATGTATTTAGCAGCAAACTTTGCTTGTGGGGCCGAGCCGGAGGTTCGTCGAAGATACTGGCACAGGAGTCGGAAATCCTGATGGAACAAAAGTGACAGATCCCAATCTGCCACCATAAATATGGAAACCGGCAGTGTCTGTAGCAAAAACTCAGGAAAAGCCTTAAGGAAGATCGCGAAAACTGGTGGGCCAAAATAGCTACTAAACTGGAAGTAGCTTCTACATCAGGGAATAGTCAGACCTTTTCACCTGATACGCAGCACCGGAGGTCGTTGTATACCAGTTAGTGAAACATTTACGACAAAAATGGATAGAATATTCACAATTAATGACGAAGACTTAATCGCTGGGAAAATTATTTTGGTGAACAGTTCGATTGGTCTGATGATAATGTGGTTATCCCGAGGGTTGCAGTGGATACTACATGGGTCGTAACATCTGAGACCCCATCGGAAGGAAGTGCGAAGCTGTACTAAATCAATAAAGGGAAGGCTGCGGGACCTGATGGGCTTCTCCCCATTCTTTTCAAGCTGGGTGGTGGCTCTCCTGTCGACTAGATTACTAGCTTACTTTGCAGCATACGGTCGGAGGAGGGTATCCGTTTATTCTGGGGTGAATCTTTAATTGTTCCTATCCTCAGGAAGGGATCACACAACGACTGCTCACACCGCTGCGGGATAAATTTAGTCCCGATCCTCACAAAAATGTTAACTTCCGTGATAATTTGCTGTACTTGTATTTTCTCACTTACTGTGTGTACATTGAGAGCTTGGCAGCGATCAGCGAAGTTCACTTCTCTGTATCATGATAATAATGTCTTTGGCTGTGGAAAGTATTGGCTTCATCACAATTAGTTCTAGTGAATAACTGGTATCCTAAGAGGAAGAAAAACCTCACCTTTTTAGAGCTAACTAGATATAAAATGCTCTTCATACCAATATTTATAAAGCTATCCAACTCTGAGCAAACGTCCCCTAAGGGAGAAGTCGACTAAATAAAACAATGATAACTCGAACCTGATAATCAATAAGATCGCTTAAAAATCTGATATGGAGACTTACTTGTGGTGAATGCAACCAGCCGTACTTTTCCTCCAAGTTGTTCATGGCCCGATCCCAATTGTTTAAGAACTTGTAGCGTAGTAATGGATCATCTACCAAGTTCCATTGTCTTCGTGCATAATGATAAGAACTATTGTTTCCTGCCCGCGGGAAATCCAGCCATTCTGGGTGACCGAATTCGTTGCCTGAGCGGTATGGACAGGGTGCATAAAGAAGTCTGTTCAATGGTTCTATATAGCAAATGCAACATCCAAACAGGCGTCGGTTTTTCTGGTAAGGAGGATATAAATGTTCTCGTTGAGTCAGTTAAATGTTGCTCTGAGAAGAACCGATTTTGAGTACAATACGAACAATCAGCAGAGTTAAAATCAAGATTTAAGTAAAACAAGGAAACAGACCATCTTGTACCTTGTGTTAACAATAATTGCCACAACGTGACGGTCGGGAAATAGGGACAAAAAAAGAACAAAAATGAAGAATCGTACCAACTGGAAAGACAAATATAGTAACTGAAATGTAGGCTTTATGCCTACAGAAGTTATTACAATAACAAAAACTGTGTTGCAGGAAGAACGATAGTCATGATTTGGGAATGGTTTATATCGTACAGGGCAATCTGAACAGATCTAAACTAGTATTCACTACAGCGAATAAAAGAGAGAATAGGTAAAAATGTCATATCCGATAATCAATTAGTCAATCAAGTGGAAGCTGTGTCCGGGTGTATTATTTTTTTTTAGTACACACCTTGGTGTGATTAACAGCAGACAGGGAAAGCGCCATAGTCACGAGGGCCTGCCGTTCAGTGTCGGAAACCGTAAACCCAAGTCCCGGGACATGGAATGGCGAAACACATCAGGCCTCGCTAGCTTAGATATGGTATTGAACCGAATAACAGCAAAGCTGCCTACCACCAAAGTTGGGTGGCGGGGCTCAAACCTCGGAACACAGGATCCATAGCACTCCGGTGACAACGGCTAAACCACTACTCCACCACCACGTATCTTATCCTGTATCTTGTTTTTCTCCTACTGTTCATCCAAATGGACAGCCAAAAGAGCACCCGAAACCGGTGCACGAAAATGCGTGGTTAGTGGTTGTTCAAACTGAACTAAAACTGATGTGTACATGACCATGAACTTTTATGCATGCGTCACGACTGACGGATGTGGTACAAACAGCAATTCTTAAGGCCTACTAAGATGCTCAGGGCGGCAATTGCTGCAAGGAGTGCGATTGGCGACCTATTCCATTTTAAACAGGGCCCAAGTTGCTGTTAACTATGACATAGCTTCTGATTTGACAAATGATGCGTGCGGAAAAACATACCTGGAACCTGTGGGGTTCAGTACAACGTCTCACCGCGCAAAGTGCGTGTAAACAGAATGCCATCAGTCTTGAAAACATACAGTAAACACCAATTGCAATGCATTTCAACAATTTTAAAGCCTGTTCATGTAGGTATTATTGATAATTTAATATAAGTGACATGACTGCTAAAATAAAGTCATCGGAACATGGAATACAAAGATTTGATGGGGTGTTTAAATACACTGTATCATATCTCAAAGTTCCTTTGAATTATCATCCAGATATCATCACCATTTCACTTGTTCGGCAGGAGTCATTCTTACAGGTAGTATGCCATCTAACATGATGTCTCTATTAAAAAATCAAGGGAAACTCCTTCAAAAATGAAAGATCCCACACTAAATAGGACTAAATATTATTTTCAATGATTAACAACTTACCTGAAAAAGGAATTCTCATCAATAACAAAGTAAAATTTGAAATCAAAGTCATTTGACTGTCTATAAAATCGCAATACTAAAATGAGGAGCTGATGAGAGTTCATCGTAGAGGAGTCAGATTGACACAGAACACAAGTTTTGCTGATTCATATCAAGTACAATGAAACAAGCAGTAAATTATAACCGTTGTTCCCTGTAATTGGTTTTCCCACTTTTTTACTTGTATCCGATTACCCCTTTCTATTAGCATTTTTCGCTTCGAAACGACGACTGTTTGTAAACCGGTGATTATATAAATGATCAAGCTTCTTTGGGAGGTTGAGGCGGCCAAAGGACGGATCATTTCGTTCCACAGTTGGTGCAAGTAATGAGTTTGAGCGCTTGATCTAATGTTCCAGAAAACGTCGAAACTTCTTAGCCATACAATGTTTATCTCAAAGACTGTTTCATCCAAAACGATCTATTGCGTAGGTGGGCAGATCAAAACTAAACCGTAGACAAGCATAGTTGAGAAAAACGTGGAGCTTATAGGCCTGCTTCCGATCTATGGGGTCCAGCAACGGATGAAACACCGAGTCACGATCTGTGCCGAGCTGGCCTCAAATCACCGCATTCGGATAGCTATGAACAGAGATATACGTTGAGCAAAATTTTTTCTAAGATGGTCGAAGTAAGTTAAACAAATGAGATAAAGGATTCTGTTAGAACATGCTGACTCCATCCTTGCGGTAAAATTTCACTCAGTATATCTCTCAATTCTTTTTAATGATTGTGATAACCTCATCGATTTAGTTCTAAAACTTTAAAATCAACACAAATTTGGAGGTAACATTTCTTTGGACCTGAATTTCATGTGATCATAACACCTTATTGTTTCACGTGTAACGCTATCCGAGACCTTTCATCCCGGGCAAACTCGAATGAAAATTCTGTTTCTAATCTAGTCTGTGGCTTCACAGCTAAGAAAGCAACCTGGATGAGTGTCACTTCAACGTTGGTTCGAATATTAGAGCTGCCTTTTGAGATCGGTTATTCAAATTCAGCGTGCTGCATTGCATTTAGTAGGAACGCTAGTATGCAAACAGTAAACTTAAAAGTA